AGGAGGAGGAGGAGGAGGAGGAGGAGGAGGAGGAGGATAATTAGACCTGATAAAGCTGACAGAATGAGATTAGATAAGGGTCCATCCCAAAGTATCCTGTGCCTATACAGATAATCTTCCTTTTGCGAACAAAATTGGGAATGGCAACTCAGTTGTTAAACAAACTGGCTGCTAAATGAAACTGCAATTGCGCATATGATCTTAATTCAGCTTTCCTTTGCTTTATAGACCTGCAAAGGTCATATATGTGAGGATTGGTCGAAAAGTTACATTTTCATCAATGTCATAACTACAAACGGTCATTAAAAATCACTAAATTAACACCACCTGTATATATTATATCTGCAATGATCCAGGTCATTTAGATACTAAAGAAATGTTTCTCTATTTACCTAATTACTTTGTGCTTCCATCCCTTCCATTTGTATCCAAGAAGATAAAAAACATTCTTTGGAGTGGTGCATGTAGACAGATATAACGTGTGCAACAAAAAAGTATTGTTTGCCAAATTGCATCAGTAATAGATAACATAACCAATTTTCACCAAATGCTAGGAACTCTCCGCCAATTTTAGATAATTACCAAAGAGCTATAATTATTTCTGCTGCTTTCCAATCTCCGTGCTGTCTAATATCAAACTTGTTTACAAGAACAGCAGCATAAATGTGTGTAGTTGTACATGCATGAGTCTCTCTGTGTGTCTGTATGGTGTGTATATACAGTCAGGTCTAAAAAATAAGAACAGATAGATTTCAATCAGATTGATTCAAGGACACACTCTTTATAATTCATTCACCAGATTTCAACTTTAATTCAAATCTATTGCAGAGGCTCTAATGTCTGGTATAGACGTGGTATAGATGTATTTGTGTCTTAGTTTAGAGGGTCAATTTCTGCTTAGGATGTTGATAGTAGTAGTGTTACTTTCTCTACTACTGCCTCACTTGACATGCCAGAAAAATGTAAATTGTCGAATTGTGGATCACCATCACATTTTTCACAAGTACCTTCAGCCAGGAGATCTACTCTTGGGTGGCCTTGTTTCCCACACCTTCTTCACTTCCACACCAAAACTTTTTGATGAACCACCACTTCCAGTGTACTCTGAAACCTACATGTAAGGAATTGGATTTGCCTTCAATATAATTCTGAGCAGATTATATTTAGCAGTCCAAATTTATGGATATGATATATTGCAACAAGGAAAGCCATAGATTCCAGTGCTAGAAATTAAGTACAGATTGCAAATCGATTTTTGCTCCCCTACTTCTCCAAGAAAATATTAACTATACAGCTAGTATTTAAGATTTTTTTTTTACTCAAACTAAAATCCTATAGACTTAACTCAGTCAATGTAAAGTTAGGTAAGTAAGTACATAAAAGATCAATAAGTGTCTATTTAACTTTCAGCTGGGGAATGCATTTTGATTCATTTAGACTGAGATTCTCTTAATTCAACTCTTGCTGAAACATTTGAATTTCACACTTCTTCATAACAAATCACCATATTGCTTCCAATAAGATGAATAAAATATTCAATTCATAATGCCACACAGTCTCCTGTTTATATATTTAGAATTACTTTTCAATTTGTCGTCTATAGCAATGGCTAATATATAACAATTATAAATCCATCAGAAAATTTCTATATGTATAAAAAGTTGATGTAAAGTTTATGTTAAATCAAGGTCAACTCCCAGAGATTTCACATATATTTTATGTAATTCTCTTGGCAACTGCATAGTCTACCCCTGCCTTCTTCTAATCTATAGTGCTGGACACCCTGATAGTAGATTTTGGAGTGATTGGCCAAGATCAGTTAGCAGTCAGGGTAGAGATCTATCAAGAAATGCATTTATGAATTCTAAAATGATATTGAGGGTTAAAGGAAAAAAAAAAAGCTTCTACATTAGAAAATTATAAACCATCTCCTTAATGTGCAAGATTTCTTTTATTTTTAAAATAACCTGCTCCAAATATTTGTCCTGTAGAATCATACCATTCAGCTTGTTTTGGCTTGTCATGCCGAGGTAGCTTTGTTGTCTGAATTTTGGACCAAACATGCCTCTTAAACTATGGCATATAATTATTTTACTGAATTAATTTGACACATAATGGAAATCCTACTATAGGGTTATGACTCAGAACTACCAGCATATCCTGGCCTTGGTCTTTGCGATAAAGGAAATCAATGAAGATCCCCAGATCTTACCCAACATCACTCTTGGATTCCATATCTATGATAGCCATATGAATACCAGGTGGGCCTTTCGTTCTGCAATGCAACTTATTTCTCCAAAGAAGCAATTTCTCCCCAATTACCATTCTGATACTAAGGACAATCTCCTTGTAGTCATTGAAGGACTGAATATTGAATCCTCTCTTCAGATACCAAACTTTTTCAGCATCTACAAGATTCCTCTGGTAGGATTTATCTGCACATTGTGATAATTACCCTTCTTCTACCTGTAATGTTTTGTGTTGTTCACATTAAATCATATAGATTTGTGTTGTTCACATTAAATCATATAGAGCTTATTTGTGTGGTGATGTAGGTGATCTCAGAAGCGTCAGCCAACAACATAGTAGCATTAAAGTGTCTTTAAAATCACTTCACCTCATACAATATAAAAGTGATAGATATAAATATAAAAATGATTATTGCACGCCACCAAGTGTGACCTTGTTTGAGACGGGTGGTCATATAAATTTGACCAATAAGTAAAATAAATAAATATTTTTCCATTGGTATTAAAGCCTTCAGTCTTCCTGAGAAGGATAAATACTTGCCACATTTTGTTCTAGAGAGTATTTGTTCCACAATAAATTAATTTACTGAAATGTGATCCCAGCAACTCCATGGCAAAATACTACTATTATTACTATTACGAATATTTATTAAGCAGATGTACACATTAATCTTTCTTTGTCAGTTCTCCAATTTCCAATTGGTTTAGGTCTCCTATGGCTCTGCTCCAGTGACGATGGATCACACCCAAACCCCTTACTTGTACCAAATGGTCTCAAATGAAGCCCATCAGTACAGGGAGATTCTCAAATTACTTCTCTATTTCAGGTGGATATGGGTTGGATTATTCACTTCCTTTGGAATGAATTCAGAATGGATATTTCAAATGATGATTCCAGAATTTGCCACTCATGGCATTTGTTTTTATTTCATAGACACAGTCTACAATGTAGGCATAGAAATTGAATATGGGGGTTTAAGGAAATGGAGATTTAAACTATGGAATAGAATCATGACCAGCACAGCCAATATATACCTCCTCTTTGGTTATCTTTGCACTTTAGTGCTTTTGAAGTGGTTGCTTACTATGGACCAAGAATACGAGAC